ATTATGTTCTAAATCTATAGTGACAATATGGAGTATACGAGTTGGGGAAATAACTCAATATAAAACTTTTGAAACGTGGTAATTGCATGAGTATTACATTTCATGGCCGTTCACTAATTAGATTTAGGTTCTGTTTGATCCACATTATTTAAAAAAAAATATTTTTAAACAATAATTTGACATCATTTTAATCACACAATTTTTAATAAAATAATATTACAGACAAATCAAATTATTTTTTTTAATCACATATTTTCCATCATTATACTATTCAAAAATGCATTTTATATAAATAATGTGGCTCAAACAAGGGCTAGTACGTCATCAAACACAATACGATGATCAATCTCATTATTGATATCAAATATATCGTTTTCAATATATATGAAACTGAATTGAGGTTCAAACATTAATCTTCAATTCTATCTCAAAATCAATTTATCGTAATGTACATAGTAGAAAATGCTCACTTATAGTGACAATGGCAATCAAATAATCATAGTCAAAATCACATGTACCCTTTTTTTTTTCTTTTTTTCTTTTTTTTCTTTTTTTTGTAGAAATAGTGAAACCTCTACCGAATCCATATAGATAAATTGCAATAAATTACTTCTATCCTGCATTGTGCATGCAAACAGAAAATTCATCACTTTTGGATCACAAAAGGCAGCTTCCAAACTTCCTAGGAAAAGCTGTTAATGATTCTCGATGAGAGTTTGGATGACTATATTCAAATTCTAAATGCAACTTTAAAACTGAAACTTCGAAACAGAAGTTTTTGAATAAATCTCATAATTAACAAAAACAATAATTACATTAGATTTACTAGGGAAAATACACCGCCCTTCCTCTAAAAACTGTCCAAAAATTTCTAATAGCACAGAAATAAGAAAACGGTGTTAATTTACAAATGTTAATCTGTTGTTCAGGGGACACAGAAATATTTAGTTAGGAGGGTACAATCAAACTCTGTACAAATCGACTACTTTGTCATTAATTTTTGAATGATTTATACTTGATTCGAGAAAATACAGATTTACATTTAAAAAATATTTATTCATTAATATTTTGCTCATTATTTTCATCCATTTGATTTCGATCTGTTATTTTATTAATATTTTGCTCATAACAAGAAAATTAATATTTACGTTTAAAAAATTTATAGTGTATTTAATACAAACAATTAATCCAAGTGATCGAAAAGAAAAACATATAGAGCTTGTTTGGGAGTGATTTTTTCCATCTAAAAATTGATTTCTTGACCGTTATTTCACTATTTCAACCGTCATATTTGACTTCTTCTCTCACAGGTGGACCCCACTTTTCTCCTAAATCAATTCTCAAAATCACTCCCAAACAGGCTCATAACCAATATTCAGAGCCTGTTTTGGAATGATTTTGAGAATTGATTTTTTGACCGTTAGGAGAAATATGGGGTCCACCTGTGAGAGAAGAAGTCAAATATGACGGCTGAAATAGTGAAATAACGGTCAAAAAATTAATTTTTTTGGTGAAAAAATTGGGCCCAAACAGGCTCAATCAAATTAATAAAATTCGTTAAATATAAATTAAATTGGATATAGTCAATTCAAAAACATTTTATGCACACAAATAAGATTGGAGAAATTTAGGTTCTAATTGATTGAGAAGTGAAAATTTCTAGTAGATGTGATAATTTGAAGAAAAATTATAAACAAATTTTAAAAAATTAGAAAGGTTAAAATTTTGGTAAAAGGTATGAGGGATAGAGTAAGAAAAAAGAAGAGAATTGCCCTTATTGGTGAGGGTCAAAATTAGATTTTTAGTCAATTTTGATAAAGTTAAGGATTTCATGAAATATGTTACTAAAATTAATTACTAACTTAATTTTAGATTAAAATTTAGATTTCAATTAATATCAAACATGACTTATCCCAAAAAAACAAAATAAAAATAATAATAATAATTCAAAGGTTGTGGGGGGGGTCACGTGACCCCCAGAACCCTCCTCGGGTTCGCCCCTGCTGTTGTGTACTTAAAGGGCATGTTTGATACGCATTGTTAAACATGAATGAAGTAAACCGTGAACAAAATTTGAACTTTCTTCTTTCCTAATGTTGTCCAGTGTCTAATTATGTCCAATTTTGAAATCGAAATGTATCAAGATAAGTGCAGTATTTTATAGTGAAGCAACTTTAATCTGGAACTCCTTGGCATGGCTGGTCATTCCACCAATTGAATAAGCTTTGATCATGGTTCTATAAGTAATCTTATCAGGCTTACATCCTCCTCTCCATAATCTCAAGCACCTCTTTCATCTTAGCATAGCATCCCATCATCCCATAAGCACCCACTAAGCAGTTGAAAAACACTGTGTCGAGCATAACATCTGAATTATCGATGTATCAAAGAAAAGATTCAGTTTTTTCAACTTTTCCAGCATTCCCATAATCTCTCACAAGTGAACAAAGAGTAACGTAATTTGATTTTATCCTCTCAAATTGCATAAGCCGAAACAAAAATTCCATTTG